AATTTATTTCCGGTTTGCTTCTTTATTTCCGGTTCAATTTGCTCCAACAAACAATATCTCTCATCTAATCTCGTCGCAACCACCTTTCCTCTTTCTTCTTCCGAGACCAGAAGACCCATACATCTCCCTCTTTCTTCTTCCTCGTTGTGTTCCAAGCAAGAATGGCAGAGGAGGAGTATCAATCTGTGTTGGAAAAAAATCTACATGATGGTCAATGATCCTTCAAGCGATTCGATAATCTCGTGGGGACCAAACGGAAAGAGTTTGATAGTGTGGAATCCGGATGAGCTTTCGAGAGATTTGTTGCCGAGAGTCTTGGACGCTTTCTCCGATATGCTTTGTGAAGGCTATGACGCTTTCACGTTTTTCACCGATATGCTTCTTCGTGCATTCGACTTTGATAAAGTTGACTCTGATCAGCCATGGGAGTTTTCCGATTCCGAGGAAGAATTCTTGAGAGACAAACCTGAGCTTACCCTGAACCGGCGGGTAGACACCAAAACGTTATGAGGATCATGAAGAAGATGAGGACACGTTCCATGGTCCATCTCGTAGAGCCCAATCAGCAAGACTCTCATCTCATCCAGTCCATATGACGAGGAAGAAAAGGAAGAGTAAGATGGCTCTAGTAAAGGATCAGATGCTCCGTTTACAAATCTGAATCAATTCCTACTCTCTCGTTATCTATTTCTGATAACATTTACAAATCTAAGTCTCATTTTCACTTGTGGTATGGATGGTTTTCGGTAAAACTCTTTCAACTCTTTCTCTTTAAACCTATAAACACATGAAACCCTACAAACACAAGAAACTCGGAATCATACGTTTCCAACTCAAAATCATTTGACAGTAAATGAAAAAGTCTATGAATCTTATATAATACTCCATAAATCTTTTAAATTCTCATGCAGGAAGCATATTTTAATACTTGTAACTGTCAAAAGAATAATATTTGTTGGTTTGGAGCTTATGATTTAGCAGTGTCACCAGATTCCAATTGGTTTTAAACTTGGACGAACTATGGAATCAGAATCAAATAAAAAACTACTCATTCATTAGTAAAAAACATTGATTTATAATCAGGAACACAAGTTAATGATTATAGAGAATTTGGCTGTCATTCAACACTACCCAAA